TTCATGATCTAGAAGAACCCTTAGTTTGCCAAGAAGAGACAAGTGGCGGTTGAGGGACAGGCCCCTTGCATAATGAAGTTGGTCAATGTCTATTGTGAGTACATAAGATGAGATGGGACAAACGTTAGTCAAACCTGCCCCAAGAAGTCCCACCGCCCTGTCAAACCTTCGCCGTTCTGTTTCCTGCAAGGGATTTGATCGCGAGCCTTCCGACTTACTACAGGACACACCCTTCGAAACAATGGAAACGTGAATCCACCATCTCTAGATGCTACACCATCACGAACCTAATCAAGGATAGGTGTAACTCCAAGCTCTTGGAAATTCTGGTTCAATTACCAGCGACCGTGAACCGTTGTAAACGAGCTCGTACCGCAATGGCACCTGCAGAATAAGTCTATAGCCACTGATCACCAACTTAGAATTTTAACATGTAAATATTTACTGAGCATAATGGCTATATGGCATATGTATCCCAAAGCGGATGATACCTGTGTGGTAATGGTGATACCATGATTTCGGAAGACACACATGTTCATCATCAAGAGTGGACAAATCGATTGGCAGCTCTAAGCTAAGAACGGTACACGTTGAATCTCCATACAGGTTCTTTATAGGATATGTGATCTAATATGAATATATTGACGTTGCTCATATAATTGATTGCAGTAACCTGGAGATGATTCAAGACCTTTTGAGTTTGCCTGGCCAAGGTACGTTCCGAGCTCCTTATTTTCTCGCTAAGATCTTGCACTCCACTGTGAAAAAATTGGGGAAACATACCAAGTTCTCAATTCAAAAGCTTGTTCCCGAGTCAATTCCAAACGCAAGCGCTAGTGGCACGATTACAGGGTTGCTCATAGTGATGATATACCTCCAGGTGAGCCACGATCGTTTTCAATTCGACAATGTCTGCATGGGCATTTGATTCTTCGCTGCGCAGAGAAACTTGACGCGCGTGGTGAAAGGCACAAAAAAAACCTCTCAAGTTGACGTCTTTCTCTCGCCAACGCAGCGCAAGGTGGCTCGCGCATCGAACCCGTATTGAAGCTACGACGAAAACTGAGCCATAAATCGTGGGCTACCTCTCGATTGCAGTCACAGTTCTATCGTCATGCGCTTCTGTAAGTGGAGTAAAATTCCTACGTAAAGAGGGTAAACTAGCTTTGAGACCGTCGAGGGGCCCCTAGGCAACGCGCGGTCTGGGCGTCTTTCGCTAAGTCCCCGGGCAGTCTCCGCCAGGTCCTCCGGCGTCTCCGGCGCGTCTCGGAAGTCGCGTCTTGGCCGCGTCTGGGGCGTCTCGGCCGCGTCTGGCGGCGTCTGGCCGGCGTCTGGGCCGGCGTCCCGCGTCTGGGCTGCGTCTCTCGCGCGTCTCTCGCGTCCCGCGGGTCTGGCTTCGGTCCCGGGGTCGTCTTTCGTGGTCGTGGGTTCGGTCCTGGGGTGGTCTCTGGCGTCTTTTTTTTCGCGTCCCGGCCGCGTCCCGCGTCTCCGGCGCGTCTCGGCCGCGTCCCGGGGCGTCTTGGCCGCGTCCTGCCGCGTCCCGGAACTCGCGTCTCCCGCGTCTCGGCCGCGTCTGCAAGACGCAACGTTGCCTAGGGGCCCCTCCGTCGACGAAAAGAATTCTTTTACGATGAGCATCCCAACCGGATCCGAGCTCCGCGACATCAAGGGCCTACTCAGGGACATCAAGATCTCCATGACCGACGGCGACTTGGTGGGCAACTCCAACTACGCGGCGAGCGGGGGGGACGCGCCAATCCGCCGCCAATCGTCGCGGTGGCACTGCCGTAATTCGCCGGCAGGTGCAGGTTAC